CTATTTTATTTCTTATTTTTTTCCTCCCTATTTTAATTGGTTCTCTTGGAAGTGAGAGTGGCCTCGCATCCTGTGTATCTTCAATAGGTAGACCCCTGGGGTCGATTTGTCTGATGTGACAAAATCCAATTTATCTGTTTGAAGAACTGAGCATTTGTGGAAAGCCTGAGTTGGTCTCCAGAGAAAATGTTCAGGGCTCATTAGCTTTATGTTGTAAACAATGAAAATGTAACAGCTCCTCCCCTATTTCTCTCTCCTTCTCTTCCTGCCCATCCTTAGAAATAATCCTTATCAGTTTAACTTCATTGCCTTTGCCATGGGTAAAGCTTCTCCCTTACGTTGGTTAGTTGCAGTGAAATCTATAAAACGCAGGTGGTGAGCTGTTGAGGGAAAAGCTGGGGTGGGATCTCCAGACTCTGCTTTTTGCCTCTCATTTCCCATTCTCATTTCTCCTTGCCGGGCCCCTGAGGTTCTTTTAGGAATCCAAGAACTCCCTGAATGCAGTCTGAGAACACAGCTTGTTGCTGTGTGGCTTGACTGCTTCATCAGCCTTGGCTGAGTTGGAAGGTTTTTCTTTGTTCTAAGTGTCTTAAAGACAAAGCAGATATTTTAAAAATGTGAACATTTGTCAATTCCAGGTAATGGCTTGTTTGTTATAATATTCTTGACCTTTCTGAATTTGTTCCCCGAACAAGAAGTTAAAAAATAGTGGGGATGATGGGAAGAAAAAATGTTTGTCCACTGGACCAAATACAGTGCTGGATCTTTGGGAGAAATTTTCCATTTTCAAGCCATTTAAGGCCTATGGGTTGGGACACACTGTTAGAGGCCGTGGGGAGAATTGGCACATTCATGCTTGTAGTGGAGACGTGGGTGCCAGGCCTGCTTCGAAATGGTGAGTCTTTAGAACAGTCAATAAAATTATAAAGGGATTATGGTTTGAATATTTTGATAGTAGTTAAAATATGACACACTGCTGAAATATGTAATTATATATATAGCTGTATACATGTATGCATATATCATTTTTAATGAGATAATAATTGACATACAACATATTAGTTTCAGGTATACAACATAATGATTGTATATAATGTATATATATGTATAATATATTTATCTTGAAATGAGGACCACAATAAGTCTAGTTAATAACCATCACCACACGTAGTTACAAATTTTTTTTCTTGTGGTGAATACTTTTAAGATGTGCTCTTTTAGCAACTTTCAAATATACAGTACAATGTTACTAACTATACTCATCATGTTGTATGTTACATCCCCAGGACTTATTTGCTATATAACTGGAAGTTTGTACTTTTGACTACCTTCACCCATTTTGCCTGCTGCCCATCCCCAGCCTCTGGCAATCACTAATCCGCTGTCTGTATCTGTGAGTGAGTGAGTTTGTTTGAGATTCAACATATAAGTGAGATCATACAATAGTTTTTTTTTTTTCTGACTTCATTTAGCATAATGCCTTCGAGGATTACTCATGTTGTCCCTAGTGGCAAGATTTCCTTTTTGGCGGCTGAATAATACTCTATTGTATATATCAGATTTTCTTTATCTACTCATCCATTAAAGGACACTTGGGTTGTTTTCATCTTGTAACTATTGTGAGTAATGTTGCAGTGAATGTGGGGATGCAGATATCTTTTAGAGTTAGTGTTTTTGTTTCTTTCAAGTAAACATCCAGAAGTGGAATTTCTGGATCATATGGTAGTTCTCTTTCTAATCTTTGAGGAACCTCCATGCTGGTACCTGTAGTGGCTACACCAGTTTACAATCCCACAGTGTATAAGGGCTTCTTTTCTCCACGCTTTTGCCAGCACTTATTATTTCTTGTCTTTTTTAAGAAAAATAATAGCTATTGTAATAAGTAGAAGATAATATCTAACTGTAGTTTTGATTTGCATTTCTCTGATGCTTAGGGATGTTGAGCACCTTTTCATGTACCTGTTGGCAATCTGTATGTTTCTTTTGGAAAAAAGTCTATTCAGATCATCTGCCCATCTTTTTTTTAAGGAGTTTTATGGTTTTATGTCTTACGTTCAAGTCTTTAACCCATTGTGAGTTTATTTTTGTATGTTTCTTTTGCACGTGGCTGTCTAGTTTTCCCAACACCATTTGTAGAAGAGACAGTCCTTTCCCTATTGTATATTCTTGCATATATCATTTTAGTAGATTTTAGCATGTCTATATCTGCTCACAAATGTCTGGCTCCTCCTTAGAATGTAAACTCCATATAAACTCCATAAAGTCTGGCTTGTTCACTGCTCAGGCTTCAGTCTTGGGTATGTAGTAGGTGCTCAATAAAATTTTTTGTATAAATGAATGACTAGACCCTTCCTTCTGTGAATGTTTTTATTGAGGATGGGGATGTTGTCTCTTACTTCTTGGTGTCTCCAAAGACTCAAGAAATGTTTGTGATTTTAATGTTTTGTTTTATTCATTCAGCAGTTCTTATTGAGCATGTACTACCTGCCAACCACTGTGGATCTAGCAGTGTATAAAACTGAGAAAACGCTTGTTTTCACAGATGTTAGTGAGAGGAAACAAACTAAATATAATAAGCAAGTAAGTTATTTGAGGGTGGTTTTTTTTTTTTGCCAGTGTTGGAATATTTTTAATATTCATCTTTACTGTTTCTGAAGAACAAAGTGTTACACCTTTTCAATAGTAACATTATAGATGATACAAAGCCTGCTGGGGAGACAACAGTTCATCCCCCTCCTAGAGGAAACAGGAATATGTTAATTAGTGAATTAGTAACTAATTAACCGGAGAAGGCAGAGGAAAGAGATAAGAAGGAGACAATAGCAAAAGGATGGTTTCCTCCACAGCTGAGCTTCCTGCCCTGTCCACCTGCCATCTTATCCTGACTGCCTTCCCCACAATCTGTCCTTTTCAACCTTGAAAGCCCGTTGTGATGTTTGCAGTGGAGGATTTTAAGTGATTGACCCTGAACCAGCCGTTGCCAAGGTATCTCTGCTTACTCCTCACAGCAGGAATAATAAATCTGCCTGTGTGCTGTCTCCTTCCATTTCAAGACACAGAACAATGAATTCAGAGCAAGGAGTAAAGAGTTATCGCATGTAGTAACAGCCCTGTGTCTTAAAAAAAAAAAAAAGTACTTTTTTGTAACTAAATGCATTATCTCACTGGAGCTTTTTAAGACCGCAAGAAGTTGGTTAACATAAGAATTTCAGAATTTAAAGTTCACATACCCCCAGTTAACCCTTCTGTTATCTCAGCATCCCATCTGGCTTAACATTTGTCCTGGATTTTTTAAAATAGACTTTATTATTTTTTGAGTAGTTTTAGGTTCACAGTAAAACTTGAGTGGAAGGTACAGAGACTTATCAAATACCCCAGCCTCCAAACACACACAGCCTGCCTGACCATCAACATCCCCAACGGAATGATAAGTAGGTTACAACGGGTGGACCTACACAGACACATCATCACCCAACACCTACAGCTCACATTAGGGTTCACTCTTGGTCTAATATTCTGTGGGTTTTGATACATGGATAATAACATGTAACCACCATTACAGGTCCTGCAGAGTTTCATGGCCCTAAAAATCCTCTGTATGTATGCCTATTCATCCCTCTGTCCTCGACTTTTCGTTCTGTAGTAAAGTGTAATTAAGGGAAGGGTATAGCTCAGTGGTAGAGCACGTGCTTAGCATGCACGAGGTCCTGGGTTCAATCCCCAGTACAGCCACTAAATAAATAAATAACACCTAATTACCACCCCCCAAAAAAGAAGGCTCAGTAAAGTAATTATAAGTTTAGATTTAAAAATATTTTTAATGGAATTATTTAATAGATCTTTCAAAATAGTAAAGCTTCTTTCTTGGTTAATAAATATTTCAAAAAAATGTAAATTTAATTATTTTTAGTGCCTACTTTTACTTCCAAAGGGATCCCAATTTGGATGATAAATTACATGGGTTCTGTAATTATGGTTTGCATTTATGGGGAGAAAAACTGGTCCCCAGAGAGACTAGGACTCTCCCTGATGTGTGGGGCCAGTGAGATGTAGAGCAGGACTGAAGTCCAGGTGCTCTGACTTCTTGTACTCTCTATGCCAAAAACAAAGCTCGCTGGGGATGCAGCTCAGATCTCAAAGCTTATCACATCCTTAAGTAGTTTAAAGTAGTTATGGAAGTGAGATTGCTTCTGTATTTCTAATTCAGACACGAGAAAATTTGCTACGTTAAGTAAATGAATAATGTACCCAGTGAGGAACAGAACAGATGGCAAGAAGCTCAAGAGATCAAAACCCAGGCAGGCAAGTGAGGCTCTGCTTAGAGAGGGTGAAATAATATGGAGGTGGAAGTTTGGATTTAAAAGGAGTACTGTGCTTTTAGAGAAGATTCCATAAATTCTTAAGTCACTGAAGAATAACATCTTCAAATGTTTGGTATTTTGAGACTGGAATTAGAGTTTCATTTGCATATTTCTGGGACATAGTGCATCTGTTTATCCAGTGGAATGAGTCTAGGTTCAAATCAAATACATACTAAACTTGGCTAATATAATTAACTGTTCTGTAGTATCACCCACGTGTAATTTTATTACAGTGTTAGCTTCCTAAAGATTGACGTGATTAACTTTTCCATAGCCAAATCAGAAGGAAATTATTTCAAAGAAGGTTAGGTGTTCATAAAGACCAATCCCTCGTCTCATATTCACCTTTAGATGTAGTCTTTAAAATACACCCTGCTGTAAAAACAGTTACCCTAAGTCAGGCAGGAAAGAGCAGTCACTCTTTTACAGAACAGATCACAAGGGGTGGGGGCAGCAACCAACAGACTGAAGGCAACGGTCAGTAACACAGAACGATTTGTGGGATTGATCCTCCACCCCAGGCGTTGTTCCAATGTGAGGCCTTAGATGCTCCCTGGTGGCAAAGTATTGACTTTAGGTGTTTTCTTTTATTTGTAGGTGGTGTAGAGATAACGCTTTCATTTTACTCATTTTCATTAGGCCTCTCTATCCGGAGTGTGTGCTGGAAAGCAGACCGACTTCTAGCAGGGACCCAGGACAGCGAGATCTTCGAAGTGATTGTACGGGAACGGGACAAGCCGATGCTGATCCTGCAGGGCCACTGTGAAGGGGAGCTCTGGGCTCTGGCCCTGCACCCCAAGAAGCCGCTGGCAGTGACAGGCAGTGACGACCGCTCAGTCAGGTGAGGGCCCGGCAGTGGCCACCGTTACTGCATTGACCTCCCTGGGATAACAGATTGATTTTGCCCCAATTTGCTTGTTCCTTTAAGAGAAGGCTAACCCACAGTGCAGAACCGCACAGTTTCCAGACAGAATGCTAAGACATTTCACTCAGCAAAAGTTGACTTCTTGGCACTTTGTTGTTGCTTTCCTTCTTTGGCTCCATCTTAAGTCAAGAAATTGTTCTTAGAAGTGAAAATACACTACTGCTGGTTAGACTGGCCCCAGGTCTCTTCCTGTTGAAGGTGTGAGCTAAGTGTGGTCACCTGTGATACGGTCAATTTTCTTGTCGGGGGCTGCACAGCAATGTCCCAGCTGAGTCACTCAGCATCCTCAGTTTAGTCACAGACACTCATTCATCACCAACAGAACTGAAATTCTGATTTTTCAAAGTCGTCTTCAGCACATGAGCCATTAATTCTATGTAAATTCTTGCATGGAATTTTGAGCAGTGCCCTCAAATCAAAGGAAGTTTGCTGGTTCCTAAGGAAAAATGGCATTTTGTGAGGGCCTCAAGGGTTCTTGCTTATGGATCCTTTGTTATCTGAGGGCACCACATTAGGAAGATGAGCCAAATGATTAGGCTTCCAATATCGTTGTGACTGTTGAAGGACTGAACGTAGGACTTAAGTGTGAGATGAAGAGTATTGCCCTGATTCCATGGTTTTCGTGTTTATTACTGAGCTTTAAATGTGCTCGACAGCAGGCAGGCCAGAAGGAGTCCACGATGTGAGAGGAAGAGACTGATCAGTCGATTGACTGTTGACTGCTTCTGGATTTGAAGAGCTACAGTAGAGCACTGTAAACCCGAGGAAGGGTTTCCGCACTTCCCCCGCCCTTGTATGTTTGTGAATCTAACCAAAATGCAATCAAGATACTCATTAGTAAAGCATAAATCCAAAAACAAATCCATTTTTTGGTTTTTCCTGAGCACTAAAGCCTCATCTGTCTGAAAATCCATGAAAATGGCTACAGTTGCCTCTTCGTGGGACATAAATGTTTATTTGGCTTCCACTTCTCTTTACTCACTTCCTCCTCTTCTCTTCCTCTTCCGTCTGTTACTCTGAGTAAACTGATGCTGCCACGCTATTCAGACACCTGAGAAACTGAATTCATACCCATCCACATAGAAAGGATTTCAAGAAAGTCTTTGGCTTTTGTATTTTAACAACTGTGTTGAGTCTCAGAATTGCAAACATCCCCAAAGAGTCCTTGCTGCCAGAATTTGTATTGCTCTCCTTAACCATTAATTTGGCTAACTCTTTAAATGGAATTTTACACTGAGGATTGAAATTTAGGAAGGGTATAAGTCATAATTTCTTATGAAAGATTAGTTCAGTGGCTTTATAAGGAGAGTGCAGTTTACTGAGGAGTGATGTTTTCTTCATGCTAGTAAAAGCAAAGCTCACATTGCTTAAAATAGTACAAGGCTGAAAACAGCATGAGATCATGAATAATGGACAAGGTGTTGAAAGAATACTTTAAGCTTTAGGCTGAGGAGTGCAGGCTGCCTAAGGGGTCAGCAAACTTGGCTGTGCAGCCCTGCACTGTCAGGAGCATCCCTCCCTCCCTCCTGATGGCAGAATGCATTTAGAGAAACTGCACCACAGTTGACTGTCTTGCCTTTTTATCACACAACTTAGATCCTCAGTCCCCCTTGCAGATACTGTGTTCATGTTAAAAGAAGACTGTTGCAAAGTTCTAACAGAGAGGTCAGATACCACAATTGTAACTCACGTGTAAACCCTTACTTGTATCTTCAAATATTTAGTTTGTGTTCTGTCAGTTTAAGGTGCCTGGATTAGGTGGTCCAGGAGCTGCTGAAAACTATGTTATTTGTTCTTGCTCTTGACCTTCATTTCTCCAGCAGTAGCTGTGCTCGTCAGCCAGGGACACTGAAGTATTCCCCGACCCTGCCCAGGAGGGGATCCATTGGCAGTGGGGCACCCAGGGAGCTTGTGAGGGGTGACAGCATGTGACTGTACAGCGAGCTTTGGAACATCTTGTGCAGGGGTAGCATTCATTCTTTTCCATCTCAGATACTTTTTCTTGCTCAGGAGGCCAACAAATGGAATGTGTATTTCAATCTCTTCGTGCTTACGTAACACAGTTACTAGAGGAGTACTTGTATTAAAAAAAAAAACTACCGATAACAGCACCTGGTGGTACTTCTTATCCTATTGATGTTATTAACAACTGTTGGTATAAAGAAAGAACGATGTTTAATTTCCAAAGGGAAAAGTACAGTTTTGTGTGAAGGAGTATTGAAAATTTCCTTATTTTATGAATCTCAGAACCTTTGGAAATGTTCTTCTCATTTTATATTTCTTGCTGGGTATTCTGAGTGGTGAAAATAACCCAAAGACAGACTAAACCCCTTCCCAGATTCCCAGACATGCCGGGAGCGGAAGGACACTGGTGCGAGGTAACTGGGTTTTCTCTTGTTATTGTCGCAGTGAACTGGCCTCCAGCCTTGGGCTGGCTGATGACTGTGAGAAGTTGTTTTGTCTTGTCTTTTACTTGGAACTGTGCGTAGGCTGTGGAGCCTGGCGGACCACGCCTTGATCGCCCGCTGCAACATGGAGGAAGCAGTTCGCAGCGTCGCTTTCAGCCCTGACGGATCTCAGCTGGCCCTGGGCATGAAGGACGGCTCTTTCATTGTTCTCCGAGTCAGGCACGTACTGATACTGAAGGTGGTACTAGAGATACTCTTGTTGAAATTAATTTTCCCGGTCATGATGTATGCCAGGACCTTCGGAAAAAGGCATTTACTCTCTCAAATAGGAATGCTGGAGATTGACAATCCCCTACATGTAATTCCAAAATCCAGATGCTCTGAAAATCCCAAATTCTTTGTTACTTACTTGGCAGCACAGTCTGACCCAGTGAACTGTTGTGAGATTGTTTGTAAGTATATTAATTATTAGTAGGAATAATCATGTATCGTGTGATTTGCTGCAAAAATATTAATGTGTTCCAAAGAGGTGCTGCCCTAGCTCCTACTGGGGTTGTTACATATGTGAACCATTCTGAAACTCAGTGGATAATGAACTCTCAAGCTCATCTGGTCCCAGGGGTTTTAGATAAGTGATACGGTCTTGTAATAGGGAGAAATGAGGGAGAAGGAAGGAAGCCAACCCCCTCCAACAGCACCAGATTTTTAGATGTGAGCTTGAGTAAAAGCTCTTTCACCTATAATCAGCAATAAAATGGAACACTTCATATTTATTAACATCCTGTATTCTACTGGACAAAAATTATGACCCACTCTTGTAACTCCTCTGAACACACACTGCTTGTTCTTTGGCTTAAACATTTTGTGATTACAGAAAGGAAATGCAGCTGTAAATTAAATACTGCATCTCTCACACGTAGCAAATTCTATGTAGCTTTGGAAAATGCTCTTGGTGTGGTTTATTACATGAAATTCTCATTACCAGCCACACGTAACTTATTACCAAATTGGTGGGCAACATTTTCTTTCTTTGCTTAGTGATGTGTGAAAAGATGGCTAATTACCAAATTTTCTTTTCTTTTTGATGGATTTCCCAAGCCAAAAAAAGAAAAAAAATTCCTCCCACACCTATTTTGTGACATTATGGCAAACTATAATGATACATTAATAAATTATAGTAGGTAGGAGGAATTATTATATGTAAGCAAGTATTTGGCATTATTTATGCATTCAGTTTATTTTGGAGTTGATAAAGGCATTGTTACTAGCTCAGGGGACCTACTAGTCCTAATCTTGTCTCATAGTTGTAGGAAAAAATCTCAGTGAGCTTTCATGTAAGGGCAGAAATTCTTACCAGAAACTGATCAGAAAGAATACAGAATATTCCAGTGATTCAGTGTATGCATTATTGACTTTCATAGTGAAACTTATAATTACATAAAAATTTAACATTAAAAAAGCAATTTTCCTCTTCTGCTTTTTGGACTTGCTCCTTTTACAATAAGCATCAAGCTTAACAGTCACTGGTTTTTTGTTCTTAAAGTATAAAAAAGGTGGTTTGTTTTTCTATTAACCTTGATATATTTTGCCTTTCTCTGATGTTTTAAAAACAATTTTCAAACACCATTTTTTTAAATAAAAAATTTTAGGGAAAAATAATGTATATAATGGAACATGAAAGCAAGATGCATTTCATTAAATTTTTTTTGTTTTTTTACTTTGGAAGCCCAAAATATTATTTAAAATGTTTAATTTTTTCTACAAATAATGAACTAAATAATATTTTGTATCTTTCCATAGAAGTTAATTGTCTGCTTCCTGTAGGTTTTCTCTCCTTTTCTAAGTAATTTTTTCTCTGGCACACAATCTGTAAAACATGACTTGGGGTTCCTATTTCTAGATTTACTGCTTATCATTTTGCTTTTTTATTCTTACAGAGATATGACAGAAGTAGTCCATATCAAAGATCGAAAAGAAGTCATTCATGAAATGAAATTTTCTCCAGACGGTTCTTATCTGGCAGTGGGATCCAACGACGGCCCAGTAGATGTCTATGCCGTCGCCCAGCGATATAAGAAAATTGGAGAATGCAACAAGTCGCTCAGTTTCATCACGCACATTGACTGGTCTTTGGATAGTAAATACTTGCAAACTAATGATGGCGCCGGAGAACGGCTATTCTACAGAATGCCATGTAAGTCACAAGGGCATTGGATGTGTGTGCAAAGCACAACTTTGAACAACAAGCAGAAAATAGCTGAGAATGTCGTTAGGACCTCAGAAGAAGGAGTGTTTTCTGAAACTAGACACTGAAATCATAAACTCTCAAAGAAAAGATTCATAAATGGAACACATTAGAATAAAAAATAATTGCAGGACTAAAGAGACCATGAATTTAGTGAAAAGACAGTGCATAGACTAGGCATAAATACTTGCAGTTGTTATAACGGACAAAGAATGTGTGGTTGACCTTTGAGCAATGCAGGTTTGAACTGTACCATCTACTTATATGTGGATTTTTTAAACAGTAAATACCACTATATCACACAGTAGGAGGTTGGTTGAATCCATGAATGTGGAACCATGGATGCAGAGGGTCAACTCTAAGTTATACATGTATTTTCAACTGCATAGGGAGTTGGTGACCCTAGCCCCTGAATTGTTCAAGGGTCAGCTGTAAACCTAGATATAAAAAATACCCAGAGATAAGTGAAAGGAAAAAATTAGGAAAATACTAAAGATTTGAGGATCAGAATCCTCAATGACTGCGATTGTTTTAGTCTGAAATCTGGGTCCTTCATAATTGGAAGCCCTTATTGTATGATTGTTTGGTGAAATGTGCTAATTGAGATTAAAATAACCACAAATTTTATTTGTAACTCCCACTAAAACTTCTATAAGAGATTCATCTTATTTATATAATACTCACTTAGTAACATTTAGTTTATAAAACTGAAGTGTCCGAAAGATAAATTTCTTTTATAATTAATGTTTTTAATTAAGAGGAAAAATTTAATGTTTAACATGAATCTTCACCTCAAATAATTTCATCTTAGTTTTATTGAAAAATCAGTCTTCACCATAAAATAAGATGTAACATATAAGACTTCAACATTTTTAAGACTCTCTGCCCTATCAAATTCATCAATAACATTGTTAAGAGATGTGTATTTCCTTGTGTCTGTTGCTTGACAGTATTTCATATATATTTTCCATATGTGAAAAAAAAAGAACACGTTTGTCATGTGCAGTAACAAAATCAGTGATATCATAATTTACTTCCTCATGTTGCTGTTACTGAGCACTTGGGCTTATAATGTGGTTTCCTTACTGGTCCAGCCAGTGTAGCTCCAGTTATCTTTGTAGAGGTGGGATTTTCTCTTCCAAGTTACTTCCTTGGACTATATTCTTTAAAGCAGGAATACTGGATCCAAGGCTATGTTCCAACTGTAAACTCTCTGATTCTATAGTCTTTATAATGAATTTTTATGTAATGCTGTGTTAGAGTCCAGAATTTGATGCCGGCTTGACAATGCCCCAGTAATGTACAAGAGTATCTGTTCTCATAGATTCTTTATTTGAGAATATTTGTTTATTTTGAGGGGGAAGGTATGAGATAATACACTTAATTGTCTTGATTTTGAATTCTTAAATTGTGTATGGCGAAGCATTTTAGCAAGTATGTCTTTGTCCATGTGCTTTCTCCTTTGCGTGCTCCCTGGGGACACCCCATACCAGCTGCTGAGGAGGCTGGGTGTTGTGCCCTACACATACCTAGCACAATTTTCAGGACTATTTTCCCCAACCAGTTAATTTATTTCATCAAAATTTGGTGGATTTTTATCGTCTAGCACTTCAAAATTTAAATAATAAAATCCATAATTTTTTTCTCTTATTAATTGAGCTTGAATTTTAAAAAGTCACTTCCATGGTTCCTTGAATTATGAAAGGTAGGAGTTTGGAATAAACTTTTCAAAAACCTGGCAAAATGTTGGAGATTAAATATATAATATAATTTTACATAATTTTATATAAACATAATTTAATAAGTCATTTCATCAACAGTACAAAGCATAAGATCATCAATATCTACATAATTAAGATCAAGTAAATATTAGTAGCTTCAGACATTCTATTTAGTACAATAATCATTTTCTTTCTCTTAAATCAATTTTAAGCATGTACTTTCTTTGAAAAAAATCACCAATTTAAAAGACCAATTGGATAGAGAGATTAGAATTTATAGTTTCCTTGGTTTAGAGACATTTTAAAACAAAGACTTTAGACCTCTATGAGAAAAATAAATAGAGTAAGAATATGATTTTTATTTAAATTATGCAGTAATATATTAAAATTGATTTTTTCAGCTGGGAAGCCTTTAACAAGTAAAGAAGAAATCAAAGGGATTCCTTGGGCCTCCTGGACATGTGTGAAAGGCCCAGAAGTGTGTGGAGTTTGGCCAAAATACACTGACGTCACTGACATCAACTCAGTGGATGCAAATTACAACAGCTCGGTGCTGGTGTCTGGTGATGATTTTGGACTGGTTAAATTGTTCAGGTTTCCTTGTCTCAAGAAAGGTAAGGCCAAAAGAAACATTTCATTAAATGAAGATTTAACCTAGAATATATATTCAGTGTAATTAAGGCTTATTTTCTTGGTGTCTATTACTGTAGACTGTTCATTTTATCTTTATATTCATATTTACTCTCAACACTTTTAAATAGGATGTTTGATGCCTTCTGCTTTTGACATGCTGCAACGTGTGGTTTTGCAAGTTTAAGTTGGCATTTTTAACAGAGATTACTCAACATTTTGTGATAGACCTTATCTTTCATGTTTTAAACAAGTTGTATCTTATTTATATATCTATAAATATAATAATTTAAATTACATATATTACGTTAAAATATCATAATTAAAATTCTTTTTTGCATTACAGATAGTTGTGCTTATACATAGGAAGCAAAGCAAATCCTGTTAGACATATTTTAAATAAAATCTGAAAATGATTGTTCTGGTGATGATACAGTTGGTGTACCCCTTGTCATAGCACTAATTTTGCACACCAGACTTACATAACTGGTGAAATTTTTGAGAGAGAAGTTTTTATTCAAAACAATCCTTTCTGCCCTCCCATTTTGTTCATTTTTTGGTTAAAATCTCTTCACTTCAGTTTTTGTGGCATCTTTAGGCTTTATAGAGTTTGATTGAATCAACCATATAATGACCGTGTCCTCTTGTTCTTTCAAAAGTTTAGGCAGAGTCCACATGCATGGGCTTTTCTGACTCTGTGTCTGCACCCTAAAAATCTGATCTCAGGAAAGTAATCAGTAGGGGTATGCTGTTGCATGAGAACTTTTTCACTTGAACGATTTTTAGATTAAGCAAGGAAAAAGATTGAAAATGTAATCAGAAAGTCATTTTCAGCTGACAGTTTCGAAGCAGTGACAATTATGGTACAAAATTATACATAAAATGCCTAGCAAAACCACTATCACTTACACTTGGCAAAATGACCGCCAGTTTAAGATGCTCATGGCACAAAATTACCTCAACGTGCGTAATTCAGACTGTTCCCTCTCTCCCTAATGGGTCTTTTGAGTAATAGGGCATGTCTTGTTAGATTGAGTAATGTACTTGCAGAAGTTAAGATAGGCAACCAGAATATCTGGGAATTCAGGCTTCAGAATAAACATCATTAAGGTCAGAAGCAATACTACTGGTCTCAAGTGTCAGGACTTGGGAAGAGAGTTAATTCAGTGAGAGTTGGTATTCCCTGTCTATCTCCAAGCCTGGTAGGGTGGACTGTAGATGTTGGGTTTGCTTATTAGGATGAGGGTGAGGTAGGGAGGTACACTGAGTAGTGCTACTTGTCAAAATGAGATGTCCTGATATGTCAAACAGCCCTGAGAATGATGGCACCCGGGAGACATCTGAGTGATCACGAGAGGTTGACAGCCAGAGTAACAGTCTGGGGAAGGCAATAAGACCCACCTCAGCAATCTGCAGATGTATCCATGTCCTCAGAGCAGACTGATTTGTTCTACTTTTCATGACACGTGGTTTATAAATCTTGAAATTTGCCTTGGAGACATTTAGGCTTTGATGGCCTTTTTGTGCTAAAGCTACTGTCAGAAGTTTATAAAGGTGTTGCTGATGAGTATGGTCACAGTTGCTAGAACTTGTCTCCCTATAACCCAGGATACCAGTGACAAGTATGCCCCTCAACTTTTGGACCTGTCAGCAGCCAGCTATGACTGTGAGAGAGTGTGGAGACTGAGCAAACATTACGGTTTTCCATTGTGATTAAATAAAACACACAATCAAGTTAATTGACACATTTACAATTGTAAGTGTGTAGTATTCTGTTGCATAGTAATTAAACTCAAGTGTTCTGCATTTGATGAAAATGACTGCAATTGGTATTTATTTTCCATAGCCAAACCAATTTGTTTTTCTCATTTTGACAGTTTTCAAGTCTTAAGGATTGATATTGATAATTTTCCCTGGTGTCAATTAGACTACACCCTGTTTGACCATCACCCACCCCCCAGACACTCACATGAGGTAAAATCCAGAGCCTTGACATTTGCCATATCTTAAGACCCTTGACACCCATCCCTACACCAAGGAAAGGCTCAAGGCTGAGGATCTCCATGTTTTACTTGTGTGCTGCCATTCCGTTAATCACACTCACACTCACACACACACACACACACGGCCCTTGAACAACTACCTCCCATGACAAGTGTCCAGGATACTGTAAGACTTGAGTTGCAGAGACCCTGGGGGACCTTGGAAGGGAAAGTGTTGGCTTTGGCTTGGATGAGCTCGATGCAGGAACAGAAAGATCAATGTGGCTAGTCGTGATGAATGTGGGGAGAATTGTGTATGGAGAGGCTGGAGAGGCATTGGGGACCAGGCATGAAGGGCCTTGAAGCATCTGTTAGAAATATGGGCCTTATTCTAAATGCATTGGAAAATTATCAAGTGTTTAAAGTATAGGAGTGACATGACCAATGTAAGTTTTTAAAATACCACTTTGATATTGTGTGGGGTAGAACAGGGAAGGGGAAGCTTCTAGAAGAGAGATTATTGCAAGAGCCCAGGTGAGAGATGATGTGACTTGGACAGAGTTGTCGGGAATAGACGTGAAGAGGTGGTGGAAATTAGGAAACAGTGCCAAGGTAGAGCTGAAGGTCTGGCTGATGGATTGGATGTGGGAATAGAGGGAAAGAGAGGAACTGAGGATGACTAAGTTTTAGGATTGAACAATGGGATGGATGGAAGCACCACTTACAGAGATGGGAAGATGAGAAAAGTTGTATTGTGTGTGTCAGTGTTTTATGGGGGTAGGAGGACAAGGGGAACTCCTGGTTTGTCCATGGTAAGTTTGAGGCACCTATTAGACATCCAAGTGGGCATAGCACACAGGCTGTCAGCACTCCAGGGAGAGTTCAGGGCCGGATATGAATGTTTGGCAATCAAGGGCATATAAACAGTATTTAAAGCCAAGGAGAAAGGACCAATAGAGAGGAAATGAGGGCTGAGGACTGAGCCTTCCTCATGGTCCAGAGAACAAACGGAGGCCTTGTTAAAGACACTTAGTCTCCTAAGGAAAATCTTGGAAGAAATGATGTGGCTTTCATTTATTCAATAAATGTTAAGTCCTGTTCTAGAGGCTGGAGGTACGTGAATGAATAAAACAAGCACAAATCCCTGGAACCTCTGTTCTACTGAAGGGACATAGTCAATAAACAAGAAAATATAAACATATGTGATCGTGAGAAGGGCCATGATGAAAAATAAAGGAAACAGCAGGAATAGAGAATGCTCAGGTGGGCAGTGTAGTGTTGCTATTTTAACTCTAATATAGTTTTGTTTGACTAGAAACCTGAAGGAGGTGAGGGAACCAGCCATTCAGAGATTCAGGGAAAGAGCATTCCAGACAGAACTCAAGTGCAGGGGCCTAGAGCAGAAGAGGGCCTGGCATGCCTGAGGAGCAGCAAAGAGGCCATTGAACCTAGAGCAAGGGAAGGGGAGAGAGAGGCCAGGAAGGAAGATCAGAGAGATAAGGCCTAAATGTGGATGACACTAATGCTTTTGCAGGTTCTAGTTTCAGCCTACCAAGGGTATACAGGCTAGCTATTGCTGTGTAACAAATTCCCCTCCCTCACAAATTTAGCAGTTTAAATCAATAATCATTCATTACCTCAGTTTCTGGGGGTCAGGGATTCAGGAGCAGCTTAGCCAGACGTTTCTCACTCCAGGTCTCATGAGGCTGCAGTCATCTAACTGTCAGACTAGGACTGGAAGACCCACTTCCAAGACGGCTCACTCACATGGCTCTTGCTGTGTCTCAGTTCCTTGCTGTGTGAGCTTCTCCATAGGCTGCTTGAGTGTCCTTGCTGCATGGTATCTAGAGATCCAAGAAAGAGGGCAAGGAGGCATCTGCAATGCCTTTTATAACTGCCACTTTTGACATACTCTATTTGTTTTGATTTGTATCAAATACTTTGTGGACTTGTTTCTTCTACTTTATTGAGATATAATTGACAAATAACATTGTGAAAGTTTAAAGTGTACAGCATGGTGATTTCATATACATATATATTGTGAAATGATTACTATTAAATTAGTTAATATATCCATCACCTCACTTACTTACTGTGTGTGTGTGTTGAGGACATTTATGAACTACTGTCTTGGCAACTTTGAAATATACTATACAGTATTATTAACCACAGTCAACACGTACATTAGATCCCCAGAACTTACTCATCTTATAACTGAAAGTGTATCATTGACCAGCATCTTCCCATTTCTCCCACACCGAAGACCTTAACAACCACAAATCTACCATGTGTTTCTATGAGCTTGACTCTTCTAGAATTGTGGACAATTTTTAAAGCACTACAAAGAGATGGGTTAAATAATCTCTGAGGAGGGTATAAAGGTCAGGGTAGCAAAGAATATGTCAGCAAGAAATACAGAGATATGGGAAGGGTATATGTTTGCTTCCTAGTTATTGAATTATCAGGGAACATTTCCAACTAACTTTAGGTGGAATCTGTTTCTCTTTATTAAATTACCAAAACTGATCTAGGAAACTCTGAAATAGGCAAGGTTGCTTTTGAGACCCAAGGCCTTCCTTTCCCCGCTGTGGTAGCATTCCTCTCATCTTTTCTGGAGGCCCTGATATAATAAAACCTCACCTGGTCAGAACATGCTCTCAGGAAAGGGACATATAGCAGTCATTTCCATCTTCGTATAAATTTAAGTTATTACCTCCCCAGGGGGTATTTAAATTTTAAACATGTGATAGTTGAACAGATGGGCTTTCTCCCATTAAAGAGATTTCATTTAGAGGGACTGTGATAAGTGGGAGTATTTCTGAAGGAGGGCTGAGTGCTTGTTGGCCCCCTGAAATCTCTAGTTTCTGGGGTTCTGGGCCTCCCCGTGGTAAGATGGAGGCTTACCTCCATGAGTGCTTGCTTAGCTCCATGAGTGCCTTTATGCTGCTCTGTACTGGCCGTACACTGAGGACTTTGCTGCAGTAGTTCAACCACAAGTATCAGTTCACATAGCTTTACTGTGGCATTCATCACCTGGGGATGGTGTTCACTGATGAATGCAATCAATTTAAGAGAAAAAAAATTCATTCTCCCGATTCTGCATCTGCATGGCCCCTAATAATAATTTGACTCCCCCCCACCCCCAGAATTACTTTTTGTTTCCAGTTGTAAAGGACTGCTTGTTGTATCTTGTATTTAAATAAGAAAGTTAAGAAAGTGTAAGGTATTCATTCTTGAGCATTTATTTTCAGAGTCAGGGAAGCAGGTTTGAAACAGGTTCAGATTTGTCTTTAGACACAGGGCTTAAATTTTAAAACTCGCTTTTAGCTTAATCCATAGTGGGATAATTGAGGTATCTTTTGGAGCATTTGCTTTTTTGTTATGATACTGTAAGACTGAAAATAATATTTTCTAATATATTTGAAGATTTTACCTCTCAATGTGAATAAGAATGTAATTTTCTAATCAGTAAATTCTGTTTGCATAACTAATCTTCTCCTCAAAAATATCTTTTTAGGAGCCAAATTTAGAAAGTACGTGGGCCATTCCGCACATGTCACAAACGTCCGCTGGTCTCATGACTTTCAGTGGGTATTAAGCACAGGAGGGGCTGACCACTCGGTTTTCCAGTGGAGATTTATTCCAGAAGGTGTCAGCAATGGTCTGCTGGAAACCCCACGCCAGGGTAAAACCAGTAATAATTTTTCAACACCTGTTTATTTTTCAATAAAAGTTTCAAAGAATGGTCTAACATCTCTTCTAAAGGTAAAGAGTGAAAGCCATTGTGAAAAGTTCATTCCTATAATAAATTTAAAATAAAAAAAGAGAAAAATCTTTTGCAATACGGGCCAATTGTATTTGGGTCAGTTGGATAATTTCCTTCAAAGAATTTTGCTTATACCAAATGCAAGTTGAAGGGCTAAGGTTTACATGGAGAATTAACCTTTGAAAATAACATGAACATATTTCAGCCTCCTTAGGATGATTGTAACAGATGGTGGGTCTGCTTGATCAGGTAACAAGGAAAACTTTGGAACAGAAGTTGCCTCCATAATGGGGTTCAAAGAATGGTCCACAATCTGGGCCACTGTGTTCCAGCTCAATGGATGTATAGTCCTTTAATTTATTGTGATGTCGGCAGGAATGATCGAGTAATATGTAAGGAAATTATTTTATTGGGAGGGGTTCTGCAGCAGTTTTGACCATGGTAATTACCATCACTCAGTGGGCATATTAACAGATTAAAGAGATCTTTACTGAACTAAGTGGTTGGATTTCCTTTTGGCCCTGCCTTCTCATTGGTAAAACCTGTCCCCCTTTCTTCCCCCTTTCAAAGCAAGATTTGAAACCCAAAGATCTATTACCTAATGGAAGTGTGGACATGATCGGGGGGAGTTACCCTAGTCTGTTAATACTCCTGAAAAAGAGGGTGAGAGGTGTGCTGTACTTAACCAAAAGATGAAAGGAAAAAAAGATGTTTTAAGAATCAACAGCAAATGAAAATTATGGTATAGTTATTTTTATTGACTTCGATAGGATAGGAGAAAAATATTTTAGATAAAGTTTTTAGCTATTTAGAGTCTCAGAATTTCTGCTTGTTCCTTATGGGATACGTTTCCACAGAAGGTGGCACTGATTCCTACAGTGAAGAATCTGATTCGGACTTATCTGACGTGCCGGAGCTGGACTCTGATATTGAGCAGGAAACTCAAATCAACTATGATCGCCAGGTCAGTGAACAGGAGCCTTATAACAGGTACCTTGTAACCCAGAATCTCCATCTCATTTAATTTGGACATTTGTACTGAAAATAGTACTTAGGCAGAAAATAAAACTAGAATAAGAAAAATTGCCTGCTGATCTTTAAACACAGATTTAAAATAAGGCATTTATCAGATCATTTTATCACATTTTATCCACATTTTATCAGTAGATTTTTTTAAGTGGAAGGTAGTAGCAAAATTTCAAAACAGAACCCATGGCAGGATTTTTTTGCCTCCCCAGCACCTAAAACTTTAAAATATTTTTTACAGGAAAATGTTCAAGTAAGCTATAGGATTTTTCATTTTGTAACAGATCATTAAAGCATGTGTTTTCTTTATAGAATAGGTAGCCATGAAGACATGGTAGTTTGCAAATGAGCTGTTGTCCTGGTTTCTCTCTTAATTTATGGAGACTATTATCGGTTTAATTAAAGTAAAAGCCCAAATACAGTGCACATTATCTCTCCAGTCAGAAGTCATCCTTATTAGAAAAGTTAGACAATTGCATCCAAATTGGGTCATGTTCTTTTTAAAATAGACATTTAATTTTAGCACTAAACGAAGTGTGTATTAAACAGTGCAATCCTTCATTGGAATCTGGACACATATCTCCTTCTTACGGAGATAACCATAGGGGTTCTATTTTCTTCCTTGTCATTTAACAAAGGTATGTGAAGCAGATTCCGCACATGAACGTGGAGTGAATAGGATTTCGGACACAGCAGCTGTCCGAGTTGCCCATGGAGACTTGCCATATAGGCCTATGGCAGCTGCCACGTATCGAGTGTCTATGAGGCCAGATCCTGTGCTTTACATACACCAAATCCAACCCCATGGTAACCCTGAGAGGTTAAGTAATTTGCCCACATCCGCATTGCCTGTAGTATTAGGATGAGAAAGTGGATCTGGGCTTCTCCCCGGAGTGCATATTCTTTGTGCTACTTGACTTTGCCTCTACATGAGCTCCGAATGTGTAACTTTTCAGATGATTTTTTTTTCCAGCTCATAATCATCAGTCATTGATTCAGTGTTTGAAAAATTAGATTAGTACAAAAGCGTTCCAGCTGATGGTTTGGGTCAAGTTCAAGACTAAATCAGTTTGTGTATTGATAACAATATATTATGCAATAAAACTACCAAAGACAAAGATTTGAAAGGAAATTAATGGGGAAATACCACGCAAACACTAAACAATATTATACCTGAATTATCAAGGGGAAATGGGATTTAAGCAAAATGAACATGCATTTTAGGGGAAAAAAGAAAAGCAATTTTAAAACTGGGATGTTTTTATTTAATAAAATGATACTAGTAAAAGAATGAAAAGACATGACTCGGTTGAAATTCATGCCTAGGATTTATATGTTCTCCCTGACATCTTACTTTCTAAAGTTTCCACCTATATTATTGATTCGCATTGTCTATGTTTGATTCCTGAGTTGCTCCTGAGCAGGGATTTTCATTCTGTTCTACAAATGAGAATTTGAGGCCCACAGAGGTTATGACATTTGTTCAAATACGCAGTAGAAATGTCAAGACTAAAATTCAGTACTTTAAAGTAGTTGATGAGCTGATGAAAGCATCGTGAATTCAAATGAATAATTATCATTAGGTTTTAAAAGCTTAGTTCATTGCATTTGTATTAGACAAGGGAGTAGTGAGGTAGCTTCTGACTTCTTTTTAAATGATTTTTGGTCAAATCCTAAGGACTTTATTATAATATTTCATGATTATTTTGTAATCTAGTTTGATCAAATGAAAACTTTCCTTTATGAAGATGAGAAATTGTCCATTATATTTCATTTAAATGTGTTAAATTGGTATCTTTTGAGAGTAGGGTGTAAGTACCTGGTAGACAAGATTCACTTTATCTACATTTAAATTCTGGGGAATATTCTCTCAGTCAGTAGTAGCATTTTTTAGATCCTAGGTTAGACCAAGAGCTTTGCTTTCTATCTCAGTCTGATCTGAAAGATCCATGAGGTCATGAAGGAAAGATCATTCCAACGAGTGATCCCCATAATTCACGAGGTCCACATTTTATCAGTGTCAGAAACATTATGAGATTTCTGGCCTTAGATGAAATTGTAACAAAATATTTTACTTACTATTTTATCTTTTAACATTTTTTATTGATTTATAATCATTTTACAATATTGTGTCAAATTCCAATGTAGAGCACAATTTTTCAGTTATACACGAACATATATATATTCATTGTCACATTTTTTTCTCTGTGAGCTACCATAAGATCTTGTGTATATTTCTCTGTGCTATACAGTATAATCTTGTTTATCTATTCTATAATTTTGAAATCCCGTCTATCCCTTCCTACCCTCTGCCCCCTTGGCAACCACAAGTTTGTATCCTATGTCTTTGAGTCTATTTCTGTTTTATATTTATGCTTTGGTTTTTGTTGTTGTTGTTGTTAGATTCCACAAATAAGCAATCTCATGTGGTATTTTTCTTTCTCTTTCTGGCTTACTGCACTTAGAATGACATTCTCCAGGAGCATCCATGTTGCTGCAAATGGCGTTGTGTTGTCGGTTTTTATTGCTGAGTAGTATTCCAGTTTATAAATATACCACATCTTCTTTATCCAGTCATCTGTTGGTGGACAGTTAGGCTGTTTCCATGTCTTAGCTATTATAAATAGTGCTGCTATGAACATTGGGGTGCAGGTGTCATTCTGAAGTAGGGTCCCTTCTGGATATATGCCCAGGAGCAGGATTCCTGGGTCATACGGTAAGTCTATTCCTAGTCTTTTGAGGAATCTCCATACTGTTTTCCACAGTGGCTGCACCAAACTGCATTCCCACCAGCAGTGTAGGAGGGTTCCCTTTTCTCCACAGCCTCTCCAGCATTTGTCATTTGTGGATTTTTGAATGATGGCCATTCTGACTGGTGTGAGGTGATACCTCATTGTAGTTTTGATTTACATTTCTCTGATAATTAGTGATATTGAGCATTTTTCATGTGCCTGTTGATCATTTGTATGTCTTCCTTGGAGAATTGCTTGTTTAGGTCTTTTGCCCATTTTTGGATTGGGTTGTTTGGTTGTTTCTTATTAAGTCGTATGAGCTGTTTATATATTCTGTAGATCAAGCCTTCGTCGGTTTCATTTGCAGAAATTTTCTCCCATTCCGTAGGTTGTCTTTTTGTTTTACTTACGGTTTCCTTTGCTGTGCAGAAGCTTGTAAGTTTCATTGGGTCCCTTTTGTTTATTCTCGCTTTTATTTCTATTGCTTGAGTAGACTGTCCTTATTGATTTTCTGTCTGGATGATTAATCCATTGTTGAGAGTGTGTTGGATCAATCCCCAACTATTATTGTATTGATATTTATTACTTTTTAGTTTTGTTAGTATGTGCTTTGTATTTTTAGGTGCTCTGATGTTGGGTGCATAGATATTTACAATTGTTATATCTTGTTGAATTTACCCCTTTATCATTATGTAATGACCTTCTCCATCTCTTGTGACCATTATTAGTTTCTTAGATTTTCGAAAACTTGATTTCCTGCCATTAAAGATATCCTGAGAATGTCAAGATATTAATGTGTTTGAAGCCTAAAGGAAAGAGTTTCTGACTAAATGTTTCTGTTATGGTTGAAGGTTTACAAAGAAGATCTACCTCAGCTAAAGCAACAAAGTAAAGAGAAAAACCATGCAGTGCCCTTCCTCAAACGAGAAAAGGCTCCTGAGGACAGCTTGAAACTCCAGTTCATCCATGGGTAGGTGGTCTGTCACCAGCCTTAGCACCTTATCACCTCCTTTGCAGTGCTGTCCCACTTCAGGCTGACTCTTCTCTCCAGTGTGCACCTACTTGCAGTTAACATTTTAAACACGATTTTCTGTCCAGTTTTCTCACTCGATGTTCTGTGACCATCTCTGCATGTGCATCCTGATTTTTCATACTTTGTGTACTTCCGAGATGCATGTGTTATTGCTGCACATTAATCTTTCGCTTCATTCTTTCCACCATCTCTGCTTCCTTGGTGCCCATAACTCCTGCTCTGTTTACCTGGCTCCACTTAAGACAATGTTTCCTTCAGACATTTTTGTTCATGTACACCCCAAATAATTTTGAATTTTGAAAATCATGCACAACCTTCCACATTTTAAGTTGACATCTAAAATGTTTCAACTTAGGTTTAAATGGTTATGAAGACTATGATACCTACTGTTTTATAAATACTCACAACATTTGTTAAGATGGCTCCAGTGGAACTTAAATGCCATAGATAGAGTCCTGTCATCATCAATTTAAAAAATACATGAACTCATACTTCTGTTCCACTCCTCCCATAGAATTTTATCCTAATGTAATATTTTTGTGCTTGAAAGCCTTTTGTTCACCCTGTCATAACTTCAACAAGCAAGAAAATTTCTATAAATTCAATTCAAATTTAATTCCCTTGTGACCATTAGTCTCTAACTGTGCTGTCCAGTGTGGTATCTACTTGCAGCCAACGAGCATTTGAAATGTGGCTAGTCTGAGTTAAGATGTGCTGTATGTGGAAAATGTACACCAGATTTTGCAGACTTAACATGAAAAAAAGAATATACTTCATTAAAATGTTTTTATATTGATTACATGTGGACATGATAATATTTTGGACATATTGGGTTGAATGGTCTTTAAAAAAGATGAAATTATTTTAATGTGATTGGAAAATTTTCAATTACCTATGTGCTCATAGTATTTCTGTTGGACAGTGCTGGTCTAAACATTAACAATTTTTTTCCTGAATTTAATTGTTATAACTATTAATAATAAATAGCTGCCAATTCAATGTAAATGTAGTACAAATTGTGATAAACAGTTACTAAACAAAAAATCTTATTGGAAAAATTTTTTTCATAAGAATTTTTTCAATGAGTTCAGATATATGTGCACATATATTTCTTATTGCTAGAATGTAACACAATTTAGCATTGAATCTATTTTGGCTTTTGAGTTTTCAATATAAGTACTAAGAAAGCTTATTCACATCAAAGCTTATTCACATCTACTTCCTTAAGTAGATGAGACCAGAAGCAGTTTTTTTTTAATTTTAAATGCATTTGATATATTTTTTAAAAGAAAACTACCCTATTACATCATTGTGGGTTTCTTAGGTTCATTCTTTTTTTTTTTTAACATTTTTTTTATTCATTCATAATCATTTTACAGTGTTGTGTCAAATTCCAGTGTTCAGCACAATTTTCCAGTCATTCATGGACATATACACACTCATTGTCACATTTTTTCTCTGTGATTTA